CCCCAAAGCCCAGCCTCGCCCACCGAGCGCCTCGTCGCCCGCCAGCCGCTCGAAAGAAAGAGAGAGAGAGAGAGAGACACGAAGGCACGGGGTCCCTCAACGCCGCAGCGGGCTGTTGCTGTGGTGCAAGGGGGAACGACCGAGCGCGCCGCGCTGCCTTGTGGCGGCTCCCCTGCCTCTGTGCTTGGCTCTCCCGGACGACGACGCCCGAGCCGCCCGTTCGGCTCGCTCGCTCGCCCGAGTCACTCCCTCGCCTGGCAGCGTCCACTTGTTGTTGTTGTTTGTTGCTGCTGCTGCGGCTGTAGCTGCTCTCGCTTTGCACACCGCTTGCTTCCGTCGGGGTGCGTGCGCGTGCTTCCCGCCACCTCTCCTCTCCCCTCCCCTAATAAACCTGGAAGTGTGTTTTGGATGTGGGGGCTTCGGGCTTTCCCCCCACCTCTCGGAATACTCCCGTTCCGCCTACGCAACGACTGGGCATCGATAAGTTCAACATTCTTGGGGGTGAGGGGCACCCAGGGACTGTTTGCGGGCGCTCTTTCCGCCCCTCGTCTGCCTTTCCTGGCGTCCCCTTGGCAAAAAAAAAACCCTCCTACCCGATTCTCAGCTGTGTTTACGTTATCCACCGAAGGACAAAAAAGCGTCGGCGAAGTGTGATTTATTCCCCGGGTTTTCCAGCTCTCTATCGGCCCCTAGTGGTCGATATTCTCATTAACACCTTTGATTATTATTATTATTCCCAGCTTTCCTCATCCCTTCTGCTTCCTTTGTGGCGTTCACATTCTGTATTGAGCTATTAATTATTGAAAGGAACGGCCCAAAACAAAATTAGAGATACTCTTTAATAACATTTCCACTCAGCCTACCTAAAGGCTCAGGCTGAACCACTGATGTGGAGCTTCGGCTGTGATAGCAATCAAATGAAAGTTTCACAAGCCAAAAGATAGAAGTGACTTCTTGCAGATCATTGAACAGGAAGTCAGGTGTGCTACTGCATAGATCTAGGGCAATCACGCCCCCATCTTCCCCCATTATTTTTAGCAATCACAGCAGGGCTATGTGGATAGACTGATGAGAGAGTGGGGTTTACAGCAACGTGTATAATCTGGAAATACAGAATGAGAGTGATTAAGATTGATCCATTAGCTGATGCAGAACATTTATTTACTGACCATTATTTTATGTATCTCAGTGCAGTTTGAAATGCACATTTAACAAGTTAAAGCAAAATAAAACAAATGTAAAAATAAAAAGGAGTAATAACACTTAAAATGAATGTCCAAGCAAAAGAACCCATAGTTTCCAGAGCTCATAAGAGATGGCTAAAAATTCCATGACGATAAAATGTTCTTATTTTGATGGCATCTGAAAAAATGTCACTGGAAGCATGAGGCATGGGGAAGGAGTGATAGATTTGCCATAGAGTTGTGTTTTGGTATTAACTGGTCAATTCCTGGTCATATACACACCCCATCTCTCCTGGCACTGATACCCAGAGCAGGGGATCCAACAGAAGGCAAGTGGGGAAAAGGTGATTCTTAAAGTACCTGGTTCACAGGCCATGGAGGACTTGGAACATGAAAATTAGCACCTTTCAATGGTCATAGAAGTGAAGCAATCATCAGCCAAGTTTGTTTCACATTGAGGCTTGAACCATCCATTCATGTAGTGCCATGGTTGGCTGATTCCACCCCATGGGAATATAGCCCTAGTCAGACATTACAAAATATAGAGAAAGTAAACATATGAGGAAAATACAAGTCTTAGTTCTGCTCTTCTCTGTTGCTCTCCCCAGAAATGTTCTAAACAGGAAAACATCTTTTATACACATATAAAGGAGAACACAGCCCAGTATCTTTGACTGCTGGACAGAAGGCCTTTTCTGCCAGCACCATCCTTTCCTTAATACTTCCCAGGAAACAGGTGCTGGAAATTAATTTCTATATTCAGAATCATAATGGGAAAGTCATTCCATTAAATCTTGGCCTTCAACCAGTAAGGTCTAATGCCAGAAGACAGAATATCTTGCCATGCCTGACATGCCTTAAAAATAATCGAAATTATGATGCAACCTGATTGATGGTAAACTATAAAAGAATGGCACACAAATGTTTCCGGGCCTTTCCTTTATTCTCATTTGCTGGCCACAAATTGCTTTGCAAATGATAGCAAGGAAGCAGCAAGTTTTATTTCTCAGAACGCTCCTGGATGCATCCCAGTGGATAAGTGCCAGAAAAGCCCAGTCACTGTTAGTCATACTGGGTATACAATCCAGCCATCCGTAACTTTTGAACTCCCATTGATTTCAGAAAAAAGAGAATAATCAAGTCAATGGGCAAAAGTGCGTGCTTAAATCTCCCTCATTAAAATCAATGGCTCTTTATGAAATTTCTGAATTTGGCTAGGTGGTGCCCTAAATTGGATTTTATCATCAGCATTAGCCACAGATGTTGAATATGATTATTATAACTTCAGTCAGCTGGAAGACACCAAACCAATGGCTGTATTTTAACATACAGACAATGTCATATGTTCATCCGTCCTTATTCCCCCCAAGATTCTCTGACTGAATATAAAGCAAGTATTTTGAGGGTGTTATTTGACTCATAAAGCAAAGTGTGCTGCTTATATACCACCCCATAGCACTTAAAGCGTTCTCTGGGCAGTTTACAGGTTAATTATGCAGGCTACACATTGCCCACCCCCCACCCCCATGAACTGAGTACCTCCGGGTTGTGAGCACAGTTTTGGCTGCAGTACAGCAGTTTAAGCACTGCGCTATGAGGCTCCTATTTCTTTGAGCCCCAACAAGTATAAGCAATGGTCTGGAATGTTGGGAACTGTAGTTTAACATCTGGAGTGCTACCATTTTCTAACCTTAGCATAAGACTTATTGACTTGGATTACCTCTATAGATAATATAGATCAGAGGTCCCCAACCCCCAGTCCACGGCCTAGTGCCGGTCCGTGGCCTGAGCCAGACCGGGCTGCGGAGACAAACCTCCCACCCCATCCCCCGCAGGCACTCACCGCCACACAGTTGATTTGCACATGCACACACGCACCAGCGTGCCAATGCAAGCGCCGTGCCACCATTTGCACATGTGCACATAAATGAGCACACCTGCATCAGCGCCATGCCGCTGTTTGCGCATGCATGTGCACTCGTTCGTGAGAGAGATTACTCGTTCTCACATGCACAGGAGCACGGGGATGTCCCACTTTTCCCAGCCACTGTGAGGTGAAAAAGGTTGGGGACCCCTGATATAGATGATATAAATTGAAATTTAAATGTACATAATCAGATTTACTATGAAAACCAATAAAAGGGCAGCCATTTTGAAATTTATTATTCAACCCTATTTTAAAAAATGCTACACAAGAGCTGAATGAACTGGTAGGATCCCTATATGAAATCACCTATGAAAAACTGCTACTACACTCAGTGGGGGCTACTTCAGAGTTAATAGATGTAGGATACAAAGCTCTAAATGGCTTGAGCCCAAATATCTCAAGGACTGTGTCTCCCATTATGAGCCTGCTCAAGTGTTAAAGATCATCAGGAGAGGCTTTTGTCTCAGTCCCACCACCTTCATATTTGGTGGAGACATGGCAGAGGACCTTCTCTGTCACTGCTCCCAGACTTGGAACTCCCTCCCACAGGAGGCCAGGCTGGACCCTTCTTTGCTGTCCTTCTGCAAGCAGACAAACACCTTTCTCTTCAAGCAGGCTTTCCCTGAGTAACTGGTTGCCTGAAGTGACTTTTTAAATGGACATTTGTAATTGACTACCTTGAATGTGTTTTGCTGTTGCTTTTGTCTACTGTTCTTTTAAAGTGTGGTATTTGTTTGATCCTTTTTAGCATTTGTATGCTTGCTGTTTTTAGCTTCAAATGCTGTCTTTGAACGATGTAAGCTACCTTGGCTCATTTTTAAGGAGAAAGGTGAGGTAAAAATATTCCAAGTAAGTAGGTTTGCATCCTCAGATTCTCTTTAATTCTGTGTTGTTTCAAGTGGAAAGAAAAATCAATTTCTCCACTTCACCTAAGTTCATCAAAACCCCTTTCTATCAAATGAACTGCCAGGTGATCTTGTGGGTATACCAATGACAAATTTAATAGCAAAAATGTTCCCAACTTGAAGAAAATTAGTTACCATAAGTCATGGCACAAAGATGGTTATTTCCACACTGGAAGAAAGAAACAAAATCACAAGGCCATCAAGCTTAAATCAAATATGCCTGTCTATAGCCATATTCAGCCTTCTTTGGCCACCCTGTAGGGGACATAGAGGAATGTGTAATGCTGCATCAGACTTCTCTGGCACTGAAAAATTTCCCAGGGGCTAGCCATGTTAGTCCAAAAGGCAAATAGCCTTTTGGCACATGAAAGACTCAGCTATGGTGTCCTGAACTGAAGCTCATTTTGTTAGCTGCCTGTGTCTGATGCAGTGAGTTGCCATCCACAAAAGAGAATTATCAATAGACAGGTGACACAGCATTATTTCTTGCCATACAGAGACCAGCTGGGTCAGCATCCTAGGAAGGAATCATGCTTGCAGGACAGAGCCGGGCTACTTGATTGTTGACTGCATGTACTGAATCTGAGAGGAGGCATGAACTGTTTGATTGATTGATTGACTGACTGACTGAATGAATGAATGAATGATATTGATTGATTGATTGATTGATTGATTGATTGATTGATTGATTGACTGACTGACTGACTGACTGACTGACTGACTGACTGACTGACTGATTGATTGATATACAGCCCATCTGGCAGCGAA